CACTAGTGGTGTACTAGGTTAGATGTTGGGCCATTAAGTGCAGGGCCAACCATTAGAAACCACCACCCACACGTGGGAGAAAGATGAGGCTTTCTACTCCTGTAAAGACTTAAAACAGAAACTGAATGAGGCACTTCTTGAAGGATTTGAACTGCTGACCTTTTGGTTAGCAACAAAGTGCTTAAGCATTGTGTCACCTGACATCCATGTATGTAAGACAGCACTCTTTGTTACTCTCTTCCATTCCCTAATTCAGTTGAAAAGAGCATTTTCTACCCCAACTATTTATGCCAGACAGTTATCTTGACTACTTTCCTTTCTAGCTCCCACATCTGATGACACACGGAGTCTTTTTATTCCTGTTTTTGAATAGCTCTCATATTTGCCCATATTTCCCTCAGTTACTGTTCTCTGTCCACCCTAGCCTACTCTATCACTTGTACCTGGACTGAAGCAGTGGCATCCTTACTACCTTTCCCATATATAAGGGGATACCCCATCCCCCCACAAAAAACCCAGAATTGCACTGGACGAAGTGAAACTTTCCTAGTACACATTTTCCCCCGCTAGGTGAGCAGCTCACTCTTGAGTTAGTGCTGCCAATGGCGTCACCTGGGAAGGTTCTCTCTAGTCACAGTGAATTTTTTTGTAAAAGCAGTTTAGCTTGAACCTTGTTTTTTGTGATGGTAGATTTAAGAGAACAGCATGTAGCTGTGAGATTTTGTTTTCTGCTCTGGAAAAATTGTCACAGAAACTATGGTTATGTTGAACACAGCTTACAGAGAAAGAGCTATGGGAAAAACTCAAGTGTATGAGTGGTTTTCTCGTTTCCATAAAAGGTGAATTGTCAATTGATGACAAACCTCGTTCTGGATGTCTGTCAACTTCCCAGACATACAAAAATGCTGACTCCTAGTGGATTTGGAGTTCCTTTCACCAGGTCAGACTGCTAATCAAGTTTTCTATTTAGAGATCTGAAAAGATTGCATAACAGTGTGTGACAGAAAAAGGCCTGATTTGTGGCC